CCCCAAAACCCCAAAACCCCAAAACCCCAAAACCCCTTATTTAATAAAAAATATGGAAAATAGAGATAAATACTCTGATATCTCAAAACAACAGTAAGTATACTAATTTCAGCCCGAACAAGGTCAAAGGATTTTTATCTTCCTTCTGAAAATGTTACAACATTTTCAAATTTGTATTTCTCTTCGCAATATTTGAGGAAATTTCTGTTTAATATTTCGTAATATATAGAGCTCACCCTTCCGAGGACAGTAAGTCTCCGGAGCTTCAAAGGCATAATTCTGCAGGGGATGACCAGATGTAAGTCCCTCCCATAACCCTCTAGAGTGCTTATCAAAGCCATGACTTGGGAGAGAGAGTCCCATGGGCTGTATGACTACGAGTCTAGACGTATCAGCAGATTTGAAAAATAAGCTCACAAACGAAGGTGAGATTGTTAGAACAAGAGATTCAGTTATATTTAATGAGAACATTATAAATTCTGCCAAAACTGATGAAGAAGAAACATGCTTATTTAGGCTCAGCAAGAGGGAAGGTGTCTATACTATCGTACCTCAGAACAAAAATATTCCTAACGACAGACTATGGGTGGTCATCAGATCTCTCAAAGATGGCTATGTCATAAAGAAGCATGACATTATAAAACTGGGCAGAATGAAGTTTAGAGTTAAGGAATTTAGAACAGAAACAGAATATTTTGAAGACCTTGATAACGACGAGAGTCCTCACCCAGGATTTGAGGAGGACCATTATGTTGATAGATGTCAAGAATCTGACACTAACTGTAGATTTTGTTGGACTAATGAAGAAACAGAAGATAATCCATTGATAGGATCATGAAAATGTGCAGGCTCCATCAGATTTATTCATTTCCAGTGAGTGAAGATGTGGCTCCAGACTAAGGTCACCAAGAAAGAGGGAACAAGCCATTGAACCTTAAATTGGAAGAATTTTGAGTGCGAATTGTGTAAAACACCATACCCATACACATTTTTATTAGATGATAAAAGGTGGTTCTTAGTAGATTTAAATCGACCGGAAGACTCAGATACTCCTTACATAATTCTAGAAAGCTTGAGCTCAGAAAAGAACTCATCAAGGACTATCCATGTTGTAGCGATCAACAGTGACCAAAGCTCCTTCTCTCTTGGAAGAGGGCATGATTCTGAGCTAAGGATCAACGATATTTCTGTTTCAAGGAAACATGCATCTCTTGAATACAAGGATGGGTATTTCCTTTTGACAGATTTAAAATCCAAATTTGGAACTCTAATGCTTATTAGTGAACCGGTCAAGATCTCAGAGCACAATAATAAAACTTTCCAAATTGGCAGAACTGTGGTCACCATCAAGTCTAAAAGTGAAGCTCCTTGGAAGAAGAGGAATCTGGAAAGAATTGAAGGCAAATTAGGGGCTAAAGGGGCAGAACTCAATAGGATGGAAGAACTGCTTAGGGACAACTCACTCAGTAAAACTTACTCCCTAAAGCAAAATCCCAAACCTAGTGGTGCTTTGCTCCAGCAATATCCTGAAGATATTGAGGAAAGAGTACAGAAAATATCTGCCTCTGAAGTAAGTCACCAAGGAAATAATGTTATCGAAATTGACGGAAAAAGATACATCATTTTGAAAGAACTAGAAGACAAGCCTTCTGAAGAATAAAAATCTTCTCCAAACTAATTACATTTTCAAAATTTATGGGCTTTTTAGGGGTTTTGGGGTTTTGGGGTTTTGGGGTTTTGGGGTTTTGGGG